CATAAAATTGTAAATATCGTTCTAAAACCCTTAATAAAGTGTTATTGTTATAATGTGATTTTATTTTACTATTTTCCAAATTGCAACTATACGACATCGAATTAATCTTAAATTTTAACATTAATTAAAATTTTGCTTGTATTTCTTTTGCTGTAATGGTACAGTCTCTTCCTTGGAGTGGCTGTAGTGTAGTGGTGAAACGGATATCCGGCAACTATCCGGTATCCGGCCTATCCGGCCATTTCTTTAAATCAGCGTTTTCGATGTTGCAATCTTCATCGATAACCTTCAAAATTCGCTATAAAATTAATTCCTTGATGAATCCTTGTGGAAATATCACCAATTATTAATTAAAGTATCCTCTTTTTAATGCAACAAGCCGTTTTGAAAAACTGCTTTTAGTTTTTGAGAAATAAATTTTTGAAATGAACGACAATTTTTTCAAATTTTGAAATTTTCGCCGATTAAGTTTTATAAATTCGTATAAAATCCATTTCTTGGAATATGAGTATGAAAACTTCCCAAAGTGTTAATAAAAGTGTCCTCTTTCCAATGAACCAGCCCGTTTTAAAAAATAACTTTTAGTTTTTGAGAAAACAATATTTGAAGTTTTAATAAAATTTTCGATGTTGCAATTTTCATCGATAACAATCAAAATTCGCTATAAAATTCATTTCTTGAGGGATCCTTGTGTAAATATCACCAATTATTAATTGAAGTATCCTCTTTTTAATACAACAAGCCGTTTTGAAAAATCACTTTTAGTTCTTGAGAAATAAATATTTGAAATGATCGACAATTTTTTCGAATTTTGCAATTTTCGCCGATTAAGTTTCTAAAATTCGTATAAAATCCATTTCTTGGAATATGAGTATGAAAATTTCCCAAAGTGTTAATAAAAGTGTCCTCTTTCCAATGAACCAACCCGTTTTGAAAAATAACTTTTAGTTTTTGAGAAAACAATATTTGAAGTTTTGATAAAATTTTCGATGTTGCAATTTTCATCGATAACTTTCAAAATTCGCTATAAAATTAATTTCTTGAAGGATCCTTGTGGAAATATCACCAATTATTAATTAAAGTATCCTCTTTTTAATGCAAAAAGCCGTTTTGAAAAATCACTTTTAGTTCTTGAGAAATAAATATTTGAAATGATCGACAATTTTTTCGAATTTTGCAATTTTCGCCGATTAAGTTTCTAAAATTCGTATAAAATCTATTACTTGGAATATGAGTATGAAAAGCTCTCAAAGTGTTAATAAACGTGTCCTCTTTCCAATAAACCAACCTGTTTTGAAAAATAACTTTTAGTTTTTGAGAAAACAATATTTGAAGTTTTGTTACAAATTTCGATATTGCAATTTTCATCGATAACATTTAAAATTCGCTATAAAATTCATTTGTTGAAGGATACTTGTGGAAATATCACCAATTATTAATTAAAGTATCCTCTTTTTAATGCAACAAGCCGTTTTGAAAAATCACTTTTAGTTCTTGAGAAATAAATTTTTGAAATAATCGACAATTTTTTCGAATTTTGCAATTTTCGCCGATTAAGTTTTAAAAATTCGTATAAAATCCATTTCTTGGAATATGAGTATGAAAATTTCCCAAAGTGTTAATAAAAGTGTCCTCTTTCCAATGAACCAACCCGTTTTGAAAAATAACTTTTAGTTTTTGAGAAAACAATATTTGAAGTTTTGGTAAAATTTTCATTGTTACAATTTTCATCGAAAACCTTCAAAATCCGCTATAAAATTAATTCCTTGAAGGATCCTTGTGGATGTATCACCAATTATTAATTAAAGTACCCTCTTTTTAATGCAACAACCCGTTTTAAAAAATCACTTTCAGTTCTTGAGAAATAAATTTTTGAAATGATCGACAATTTTTTCGAATTTTGCAATTTTCGCCGATTAAGTTTTAAAAATTCGTATCAAATCCATTTCTTGGAATATAAATATAAAAATTTCCCAAAGTGTTAATAAGATTGTCCTCTTTGCAATGAACCAACCTGTTTTAAAAAATAACTTTTAGTTTTTGAGAAAACAATATTTGAAGTTTTGATAAAATTTTCATTGTTGCAATTTTCATCGATAACTTTCAAAATTCGCTATACAATTAATTTTTTGAAGAAACCTTGTAAAAATATCACCAATTATTAATCATAGTATCCTCTTTCTAATGCAAAAAGACGTTTTGAAAAATCACTTTTAGTTCTTGAGAAATAAATTTTTGAAATAATCGACAACTTTTTCGAATTTTACAATTTTCGCCAAATAAGTGTTGAAAATTCGTATAAAATCCATTTCTTGGAATATGAGTATGAAAATTTCCCAAAATGTTAATAAGAGTGT